GTGCAGTAACAAAATTGACCAAAATACTGACATTCTTCAAATACTGTTAAAGATTTGCCAAATTATAAAATGTTGCCTTCAAATTCTTCCCTGTGCAGAAATTCCTGTTATTTTTTAATGAACTGTTAATATTAAGCATATTTATTTCCATACCTGCCAGCCTTCTAGCAGCAGTGGGAGGAAGCAGGAGAGCCTATTGTGCCTGTCCTCATGGCTCACAGCTACATGTGTAGCCATGGCAGCCTCAAGAAAGTATATGACTTGGCAAGAACTAGGGAAGAGCAACTCTTCCCTGTTTTAACTTGTACAGCTACTCGAAGACCCTGCAAAAGGATACAAACTCAAAAATGCACCATTTAACTATTGTACTTTAGGTAAGAGAAGATCAGATAATCATAATGTATTTTAGCTTTATTGAAGACATATTACAGTAGACAAACAATTTGACAAACACATGCTCTATAAAATATACATTCTTATGTTGGAGAAAATATAAATAGATACTAGGAAATGGCCACACCGAACAACTTGGCTTATACCTCTCTTAGGTACATCTAATATCAGGGCTGTTCAGATTGACATCATCTGACAGGGGGAAAAAAAGGACAGAGAAATCAGAGGGTAGAAATAAGCCTCTCTATGGATCAAGAGGACGGGTTAAGCAGCCAAGAGCTATCCCAAGAGTACTTGACCACCTGAAGATCAATTTCTCTTTTTATGACAGTTACAGCTGATAAAAGATCACTTTATTTATTACTTACATCTGAAAACAGGCACAAGTCAAGCCTTCTTCATCTTCACCCTATCTTCTGGGGATTATTAGGACTGCTAAGAAACACTCAGCACACAGCCTTGAGGGAGCAGGTCCAAATCTTAACTCTTAAAACATACACACACCTACCTAAGTACCCACAAAACCTCCAAATGATTCTTGGGTTTTCAGGTGTGGTTTGGTTGAGTGCAGCATGTAATATATCTCTTAGTTCAGAACTTGTTACTTTTGTCATGAACCAGGCAACTGTCCAAAAAAGAAAGAAAATCAAGGCTAGCCGGTGTCGGATTAAATTGTTCTCCAAACAAAAAAGGTTATGGTAGAAGAAGTAGGGGGGCCAGACACGGTGGCTCACGCCTATAATCCTAGCACTCTGTGAGGCCGAGGTGGAAGAATTGCTTGAGCTCAGGAGTTCGAGACCAGCCTGAGCAGAAGGGAGACCCCGTCTCTATTAAAAATAGAAAGAAATTAGCCAAACAACTAAAAATAGAAAAAAATAGCCGGGCATGGTGGCACATGCCTGTAGTCCCAGCTACTTGGGAGGCTGAGGCAGAAGGATTGCTTGAGCCCAGGAATTTGAGGTTGCTGTGAGCTAGGCTGATGCCACGGCGCTCTAGCCTGGGCAACAGAGTGAGATTCTGACTCAAAAAACAACAAGAACAAAAACAAAACAAAAATTAGTTGTGGCACATCATTCAGATTATTCTGGCACTCCAGTGTGCTATGGCAACACTAGCATTCAGATATGCTGCTCTAGAGAACAGTGGGAAGTTTTTTGATAGAGTCAAAATTCTTTATGTTTACTGATACTATTTAGAAGCAGAATATTTTTTTTTCTCCTCATGAGAATTTTTTAGACCATTACTCCTGATACATAGGTAATAAATCTAGTTCAAGTTGGAGCAAGCAGCATTATTCTTGTTCTACTATAACAAACATTTCATGAAAGCAGCTTTTTATTAAAACAGCATAATCCTCCTTAGTTCCTGGAGGGAATTACAGATTCACAGAATGTTACAGTTGGAAAGGGCATTAGAGCATCTAGAAAAATACCCTCACTTCATAAATGAGAAAACAGAGCCCACAGAAGTAATGGGACTTGCCCTTGATTACACGGCTAGTAACAAGCAGAGCTAGCAAACCAGGTCTCTTAATTCCAAATTACACCATAACCTAGTAAGTAAGAAGAGAGATTGAAGGGATAGGAAAATTGTGACATTTAAGTTGTTCAAAGTGAAAATGTACAGAGGCTGGCAGTTTAAAGAGGAAAAGAAAGGTGTGGCAGTACTAAACAGCTAAAGAAGTGCTACTCCCCATGGAAGAAAAGTTTAGGATTGAAAATAAGTATGAAATCCAGCTAAACTTTCTCACAAACACCTGTGACGTTATGTGAGTTTAGAACCCCTAAATTTACAAGGACTTAAAAAATAGGTATTTTACTTTAAGTGATCAAAGTTATCTAGTGAGTACCTAGCGTTAGATTTAGAGGAGAGATCGGACAGTTTGTATATGGAAACCTGAAAGCAAAAGAAAGAAGAATTTTAGGCCATGACAGTCCATTAGAGGTTTAAGTTCTTTGCTTACATGAAGTTCTTTGCTATCAGAAATTCAAGAAAACTTTTTGGTTTAAATAATCACTTGTACAAAACAAGGAACACTCTAAAGCTTTATAGTTTAAGAATTTCTATACATTCTTCTACTCCCAAGAACACTTGTCCCTTCTTAAGATATACTGTGCATTGGTAAAAAAAAAAAAAAAAAAAAAGAGAGAGAGAGAGATTAAAAACAAAACAAACAGAAAAGAAGCAATCTTTGGTTTCCCTATGAAGTGCTTTGCTGAAAGAAAATATTCCCACTCAGAGAAAGCACAAAGTGAACACAACTAAAAACAACTAAAACTTACTCTGGTATTTCAACACTATTATATTTTAACAGTCAATTTTCCAATTGTTCTTCAAGATAGAAAACTCAGATTCTGATGATGAAGAAGATGGATCTACAGCCCAGTGCAGGAGTCAGATGGACCAACTGGTTCGGGAAGAAGCTTTCTACTGATTTGTAAATAACCTGAGTGAGGAAGACTACAGGCTTATGAGGGATAACAATTTGCTAGGCACCACAAGTGAAAGTACAGAAAAAGAGTTGCTGAGAAGGTTAAAACAAATTAAAGATGACCCACCATAGAATCAGGTGAAAACAGAGGTGAGAAAGACTCTTTAGATGATGTCTAGTACTAGGAGTCTATAATAGACTGGTTTACCTCTTTTGGACAAACAGAAAATATGAGAGGAAGTCAACAAAGAGAAAACCAAGCTTGGACAGCAGCAAGCCAAAGAAATCCATACAGTAGTAATTTCAGATTCAGTGTAGGGATAAATATTAACCTTTATCATGGGAGTCCGAATACACAGAATGAATATGCATCACCTGTGAGACTTCCCAGGAGAGAAAATATGGGAAACAGCCAAAAGCAAGTGGAAAATCCACAATCTGAATCAAGGTTTGCAAGGCCATCTAGACCAAAATGAAGTACAACTGATGCATTAATGGAAGTCCCACCTACCAGAGGACAGAGAAGACTGAAAAGCAGGAGCCCAGACCATCAGAGAACAGAATGAGAACTAAGAGTAGGTCGCCTCCAAATTCATGGCATGAAATTTCACAAAGACTTCATGACACTATACCACCTCAGACTTTCGAGAAGCCTCTGATAAATGAGACTAAGAAATTTTCTTTAACTCAGCAACGTAAGACATTGAGATAGCAATCAGCTGAATCACAGTTGCAAAGTGGGCATCTTTTTGCAGCTTCAAGGAACCAGGAATGCCTTTCCAGGAGGACATTCTTCAGATAAAATCAGAAATGGTGAATATGGAGACCAAGAAATCTAACCATAGTCCTGGATGTCACAGTAAGAAGAATTCATCCTGGAGAATATTTGCCAAGAGACAGCATATCTAATAGAACTCAGTTAACATCTGAGACACCAAACAACACTGCCACTTTAGAAAGTGAACAAGGAAGACTCCAAAATGTTTTCACATTCTGATCAAGCAGGTGTAAACTTATTTCAGTATCAACAGAATTTTTGTTCACAGAATTTTAAACACTAATTTAAATAATACATCTGTTGCAACTCAGCATTAAGGCAGAAAATGACAAGATTTGCTGATTTGAGTAAACTTATGGAGAGTGATAGTGACTTAGATCCCAGTGGCTCACCCTCAAGTCAAAACATGGAAAGGGCAGTCACAGAATGAGAGAGATGGTTCTGGGCCAACCATGCAGCTCACACCTGTAATTCTATCACTTTGGCAGGCTGAGGTGGGAAGATTGCTTGAGGCCAGGAGTTTGAGACCAGCCTGAGCAAGAGCAAGACTCTTTTATTTCTCCTACAAAAAACAGAAAAATTAGCCAGGAGTGGTGGTGGCATGCCTATAGTCCTAGCTACTCAGAAGGCTCAGGCAAGAGAATTGGCCATGAGTTTGAAGCTGTAGTGAGCTATGATGATGCCACTGCACTATAGCCCGAGCTGCAGAGTGAGACCCTGTCTCAAAAAAGAAGAAAAGAAAGAAAGGGGGGGGGGGAGGCAGAGAGGGAGGAAGGAGACAGTTCTAATGTCAGTAGTTGTTCTGGCTCCAATTCAAGTCATAGTACTGCTTCCTACACAAGTTCTGCAATATATAAATCAGCCTCCAGCTTTTGAAGCATACACTTTTGAAGTGATGCTTACATATGAAACAACAACCTGAACTGCATCATTGGTTCCTGAAGAAATGAAGTTTCCCCAATTTCTGTTTAAGAATAAAATATCAAGAACCCAAAAAAATAAAAAAGAGAGAAGATATTCTCAAAATAAGTTTTCCTCTATCTATGTGCATATGGCTGTGATAGACTGCCACGCTCTAAAAGACCAAGCCTTTTTATGCTAGAAAGAGAGTATCACCTAGCACTTGTAAACAGATGGTATATGATTAGACCTCTAGGCATGAAGCAAGCAGTTAATCACATTAAGACTGTTTGTGTGTACACAATCACTAAGTACTCTGACTCTATACATATACTTCTTAACAAGTAAATTTTCAAATTTTAAACAAAGTTTTTAGAAGTCACTAAACCCAATTATACAAAAACTGTGATCTGAGAAGCTGCTGTCAATATTATAACTGGATATTATATATAATCTTGGCATATCAAAAATATTTACATTGCAGCCAACACATATATGGTCAATGAATAGAAAAATTATTTATAAATGCACATATATTTACAATGAGCTCCCTTGGCAATAGGGACACACAAAAAAAATTACAAGAAGACCTTGAATATCAAAGCCCCAATCTCAACTCTCTGCTTAAAACCACGGAAGAATCCCAGGCACATTTGCTACAGTGCCCCAGAGTTAATTTTGTTCCTCAGAAGGCAAAGTAGAACAACAAAGGAGTGATGCTTTCTCAGGATCATTCTGAGGACTGGGATAATCCACCACGGTAAGCAGCAATGAGACTCTTCCTGATAGGCAAATGCACACCTGGACACATCCCCATTGAATCATCAGCACTTTTGCCCCTTGTCTTCCCTTTGCCGATGCCGCACATTTCGATCATATGTACCCATTTCTGTCAGCCATTATCCTTTCTTCATCAGGTATATGCCCCAAAAAATGTGTGGCCCACTTTGGTGTGGTCAGATGTAATCGTAAACAAAGAGTAAAGCAAATGCTGACTTTGGGGTTTCTTCTGAACTCCGAGGTAGTAAATACAAAATTAACTAATGAGTCTTTGCCCAGGTTTCACCCTGAAGTGAGTTTCATGTGCCCTCACCATCATCTTGAATATTCTGAGTCCTATTAAAATCAAAAGTGTGGTCCTGTAACCTGTGGCAGGACGTGGGGGAAGCAGAACAATCTGGATCCCTCTTTGCTAGGTCCTCATTTTGATGAAGTTGTGGCGACTCAAAGACTGGCTGCTGGGAAAAGTGAGGATGAGGCAGGCCTAGTTCTCTGTTTATATTCCACAAAGGCCGTTGCAATGGTTCTGTGAAAGAAAGATAAGAAGAATCAATGGTGATCAGAAGTTCAACATTAATTTTCTAAAACCTAATGTCTTTTTAACTAAATCCTCAAATAAATAAAGATGTCCAATATTCCTGAATAAGGACATTGAGATCAAACATACACTTGTATCTTCCTAGCCACAACAAAATAAAAACCAAACATGGTCTTTCAAATCTTTCTATTCAACAAACCTAACCGATTATATACTGAGACCATGCTATGTATCATGCACTTTTATGTGTTATTTTAGTGGTTCTGCTGCTACAAAAATTTAAAAGTAAAACTCTTTAGACACACAAAAAGGATATAAAAGAGACTTACTGATTTCCATATTGTAATGAAAGTTTCATGATACATAATTATCTTTAAATATATTATAAAATTGTTTTAAAAATAATCATTCCCTTCCAACCTGTAGCATGTCAATAATTCTGACAACAAATAATCAAAAGCAGCTATAGGTCAGGCACGGTGGCTCACGCCACCCAGTAATCCTAGCACTCTGGGAGGCCAAGGCGGGCGGATTGCTTGAGGTCAGGAGTTCGAAACCAGCTTGAGCAAGAGCGAGACCCCGTTTCTACTATAAATAGAAAGAAATTAATTGGCCAACTAATATATATATAGAAAAAATTAGCCGGGCATGGTGGTGCATGCCTGTAATCCCAGCTACTCGGGAGGCTGAGGCAGTAGGACTGCTTGACCCCAGGAGATTGAGGTTGCTGTGAGCGAGGCTGACGCCACGGCACTCACTCTAGCCTGGGCAACAAAGCGAGACTGTGTCTCAAAAAAAAAAAAAGCAGCTCTAGTAAGTCAGGTTATCTGCACTTTGGTTTCAAAAACACACATTTGTCATTCTTCTTATTTACTGCAGCTGTGAGCTACTGGCCCAAGGATCCTGTACTAAAAGTTATATTAACTTCATGGGCAATTTTGGGAAAAAACAGCAAATACCTATTTATGTATTAGAAAAAAAATCTAGAAATAATAATAAAAATAATACTAATAAAATAAAAATAAAATCCATGTGAAAAGTAAGCTGTAGCAGGGTTTCTCAAGCTTTAACATGCACAAGAATAACCTAGGGATCTTGTTAAAATGTAGACTCTGATTCACTAAGGTCTAGCGTGGGACCATGACTCTGCATTTCTAACAAGCTCCTAAGTAATGGTGATGCTGATAGTCCACAGACCACACTTTGAGTAACAAGAAGCTAGAGTACTTTGCTAAAGAGTAGGCAATGCACCAAAGGACTCTCATTTTCTATTTCCTCACCTACAGACCAAATTAAAAATTAAGGCATCCCTAAGGGTAGAAAAAAGATAAACTACATTTTTGGTTCTTCTTAAACCTTATCTGTGTAACTCTTCTAGGACATGGAAAAATTGATTTAGTGTTGGTGTGTTTCTTTCATCCATACAGAATGTAAAAATAAGAGACCAACTTCAATAACAGTAATTTTTCTGACCTGTACCCTCTTTAGCAATCTTTGGAGTTGGTCTTTTAAGAACAACAGAGCACATCTTAAGTCCCACATTAAATCACTTATTTGTGCTTGAACCAGCTATGGAAGTACCACTGTATACTTTGCCTTCCCCTATAAACCTATAGTTCTCACCTCCTACCCTATTTCCAGTGCTCTTCCATTTCAGGCTGACAGGAAAGGAAAGCTGATTTAAAGCCTGGATGGACAGGAAGACATGCTCAGTTGTACCTTTCATGGTCTAAAAACAGTTTTGTTTCAAATGCCAAGTTATCATCAAATGCCTAAAGTATACAATATAATGTGTATTTCTTTTCTTGGGCCATGTGGGACAGAAGACACTAACCCAAAACTGCTTTCTCACTTATGGACCTAATCATACTCATGGGATAAAAAAAACACCTGCCAAACAATGCTGAGATTGAATACTTACCTGACAGAACAGCAACCAAACAAACCATTTTAAAATCTTCTCAGTAAAAATTTTCACAAAATTATGCCCAAATTATATTCTTTATTTTAAATAAAGATGAAAGAAAAAATTATCAATACCCTATAAGAAACTTTTTTTTGCTAGTCAAGTGAAGTATATGAAACTTTTTAAAAGCTATTTCTATATGGCCTCTGAATTTTCAATAGTGTGATCTTGTTAACCCACAAAAGCTGTTTTTATCCTACAGATGAAGACTTCTTTGTAACTCTAATATGTAAAAATGTCTGGCTCTAGTTTACACCAGTTAACAGTGGCCACTTACTCCAGTATACCAGTTTGTTTTCTTCCCATCAAATAAGAGTGCAGCCTATTTGATAGAAGGAAAAGTCAATTATGTGAAGGTGAAAACAAAATAACAACAAAAAAATGAACCCCTTACCACTGCTTATCTGTGTGGAGGAAAGTTTCTTCTCATTCATCCTCTCATGGTTGGTGGGAAAGGCAGACAGCTCTCTGTCTGCTGATGATATCAAGCTCTCCAGGGCAGCAGCATTGTGGGGAGGATGTGCTAAATATGCCTCTTTGGGCATCTGGACCATGAGGCTGGACAGTGTCTGATCTAAAACATCCTCTTCAGCAATATAGGTATATGGACAGTATTCTCGGGTCCTGGAGTAGATGTTGGCATTGTCATAACAATCTGAGCAGATCACCCGGGTACCAGTGCCACCTAACGAAAACAAAGAAAAGAATCCAAATATCCTTCTATTAAAGAATTGGTTTTGCTAATCATCAGTTTTTTTCAACAGTTGTCATCATCATTATTATTAGCATTTATGGAACACTTACTTTATAAATCAGGTGAAGTTTTAAGCTTTCTGTCAATTAACTCATTTATTTTTCACAACATCCCTATGAGGTAAGTATTATTATTCCCCACATTATAGATAAAGTAACTATAGCACAGAAGAGTTAAGTAACTTGACCAAAGTCACATTGCCAGAGTGAGGAAGAGACACTTGAACCCAGGCATTCTGGCTCCAGAGCCCATGCTCTTGAATACCACACTGGATCATCTCTGTCCAGCCTGGATAGGTCATACTCAAATCAAAGGGAGCCAAGACAAGGCTGGCACTGTGCTATAAGACTCATACTTGGCTTAAGCAAAGTAAGGCAGAAAACAAGGAGTTATAATGATTTCACTTCATGAAAGTCCATGTTATTTTCATGAGTTAAGAGGTTAAGTAACACCAACTGCTAATAGCATCCCCAGAGAAAGCCTCTGACAGTCAAGAGTCTTGCCTGACAAGTGTATGGTTGACAGAAGTAAAGCTTTAATAATGAGCTCCCTGGACTATTATGTGCTTTGAAAACCAAATGAAGGAGAGAAGGGAGAAATGAGAAATAAAGAGTGAGTTACTTATTAGAGATCAAGCAACAGAATATTAGAACTAGAAGAAATCAGAAGTAATTTAGTTTACTCAGAAAGCAGTGTTATTTCCCACAAATTTCAAAGAGTAGAGGCTTTTATATATTCTTTTCAGAGTCAGAAATACCCCCTTTTCCATGAAAAGCCAAAGTAAAATTTATCAATTATATAGAAAAGTTGTGTTGACACCCAGCCTAAAAAAAAAATCTCTGAAGAAATGGAACAAATCTTTCATTTGTATGGTGTTTAAAGTACTACACAGATTTATGAAAAAATCTATGAGACTATTGGGGGGAGTACTTTATAATGTATTATTTCTTTATTTAAAAACAAGGAAACTGAAGCTTAGATCTTAAGTAAATTGTTCATGGCTACAGAGCTGAAAGAGGAAGAACTAGGAATCAAACCAATTCTTCCATCCCTTAATTCCCTTCCCTGTGTTCTGTCACTCTCCATGGCAGTGAAGGTGTTGAAAGGGTAGAGGGAAGAGATGTAGTGTTGAGATGCCAAGTTCATTTAATTAAAAAATATTTTATATCTCTCTGATGTTCTCCAATATATACTGAAAACAACTGCTACCCTTTTTATTTATTTATTTGAGACGGGGTCTCATTATGATGTCCAAGCTAGAGTGCAATGGTTATGTATAGGTCTAATCATAGCACACTACAGCCTCAAGCTCCTGGGCTCAAGCAATCCTCCTACCTCAGCCTGCTAAGCAGCTGGGACAACAGTTTCTAGTTGTGCCCAGTTTCTAGTTACCCTTTAAACTTTATTGAATATCTAACTGTCAGAAGAAACAAACCACCCCTGGATGTCATTCAAAGTATGCTCATGCCTGAAAAGGGTAAGTGACACTTGAAAAAAGTTTCCAGAACATCCCCTTCCTATAACAACACAGGTTTAGGAGCCTCTGTCATATACTCCAATCTCTCATTTAAGGATGATGTGTTTCTGTTTTATGTAAGATGATTTTCTTCTCTTGCTTAGACTTTAGTCCAGTTCCATCCTACTTTGCAAGAGGCTAAATATTTTCACTGAGTATATAATTTTTAAATATTGCTTCAGGTTAATGGAGAAATTACATACTGAAAAATAAACAATAGGATAGGCTGAAATTGTAACCAAGAATAACAGAGTTGTTACCATCAGGGCCTTTGTGTATGTATCCATTGACAGGAGGCATAAGTTGCTGATGGCTGCCTGCTTCAGAGTTGCTGTACCCTTCCTGTGGCTCAGATAGTGTTCCTTGGGAAGACAAGTAGCTGGGAATGTCTGCAGGCAGATTGAGCTCCTCTGTAAAAGAGACATCTGTGACTCTCAAATAAAGTTAGGCAGTTGAAGCCAACATTCAGAAGACTATTTTGCAAATGTGTTCCACTTTGATAGTACTGGCTAGGATAATGGCATGTACCGGGGACCCAAACAGCATTTAGTACTTCCCCTAAAACTATTTCTCACTAGACCTCTTCTCAAAGCTTCATTTTAAAAGTATTACCAAAACCTAAAGATTAAAAATCTTATCTATACCCACACTTTCAAAATGTATCTGACTGGATCTCTTTTCTTGCAGGATTTTAGGGTTTCAGGGTGACAGTTGTAAAAGACTGACCTGAATTAGCCAGCCTTATATTTAGTTTAAGGAAAAAAAAAAAGACTGATCTCAATTATGAGAGGTCCACTTTTCCCAAAAGCAAAATTATAATGAAAATGAGCCTTAGGCATGAAAGGAAGAAGATGCACCTATAATGCATTCATAAGAACAAAGTTTTGGGATAGTTTTTACAAATTCTTAAAATTATTCCTCAAAGAGGTTCTGCTGTATTAAAGAAGTTGAACATTTTAACAAAAAATTTCCTTATACCACATATCAGGTAATATAGGACAGCTCCTAATTTTTTTATTATTATTATTTGTTTGTTTGTTTTAAGAGATGATGTCTCACTATGTCACCCAGGCTGGCCTTGAACTTCTGGGCTCAAGTGATCTTCCCACCTCACCCTCCCTAGTACCTGCCACCACAGCTGGCTCTCAGTTTTCTACATTTATTGTAAAGTGTAATCCTATACTACATTCTTTTGAGTTTGTTTTTGTTTTTGTTTTTTTTCTTTGGAAACAGAGTCTTATTCTGTAGCCTGGCTAGAGTGCAGTGGCGTCATCATAGCTCACTGCAACCTCAAACTCCTAGGCTCAAGCGATCCTCCTGCCTCAGCCTCCTAAGTAGCTGGGATTACAGGCACATAACACTACACCCAGCTAATTTTTCTATTTTTTGTAGAGAAGGGGTCTTGATACTGCCTAGGCTGGTCACAAATAGACTACATTCTTGACTCAAGTATAAACCTTAAGTGTCATCTGGGTACCACTCACCTGTGTTTGTGATACTATAGTCTTCATTTTTCCTTCTCATGTGATATATAACAATGACCCAGATCAAAGAGGTGCCCACAACACAGCAGACCACAACAATGATGACAATACCAACTGTGGTCCAGCCATCATCTTCATGTCCAATGCTACTCTGGGAAGAGTCACAATTTGGGGATGAAATGACATTTAAGTAAATGTGGCCACGTTCTGTCCCAAGGGTGTTAGACATAATGCAGGTATATTTCCCAGCATCTTCTAGCCCAGCATCTACAATGATGAGAAGCTGGTTGGCTGCAGCAAAGAAGTGTCGTTCTGTCACCAGCAGTGGTCCATCATCTTTAGTCCAATTGAGGCGAGGAGCAGGACTCCCTCCAGCTATGCACTGTAATACTGCAGTCTCACCTCGAGTTACTGTCTTATCCTCCAGAGGTCTAATAAATGAGGGTGTCTCTAACAGGAGAATATTTAAAAAAAAAAAAAATAAGTTAGGCAATTTTATTCCCTAAATCCTACTAAATCAGACTAATGAGGGTATAATGAAATGAGCACTTTCATATACTCATGGGAGAATTAGAAGTTAATGTTTCAGAAAAACAAAAACATCAAAAAAGCCTAAATCTTATCTCAATAATTCCTTCTTGGACAAGCTATCTTAAGTTAGAAGTTCAAAGATTTATATATTTTGTCTATTACAAAATAAGTTGTAATTTTTTTTGGAGAGACAGGGCCTCACTGTCACCCAGGCTCGAGTCAGTGGTGCGTATAATAGCCTACTGCAGCCTCCAACTCCTGGGCTCAGGTGATCCTTCTGCCTCAGCCTCCCAAAGTGCTGGGATTACAGGTGTGAGCCACCATGCCTGACCAGTCGTAATTTTTAATACAGTCAAAAAATAAAAATCTACCAGAAACATGATTAAGTAAATTACAGTACAGTCACATGACATTTTATGAAGACTTTTTTAAATGATAGGTTAACCCTCGTGATACAATATTAAATGAAAAAAGGCAGGGATACTTAATTACATAAAAATGAACAGAAATGTGGTGGCACACACCTATAATCCTAGCACTCTGGGAGGCCAAGACCAGAGGAATGCTTGAGCTCAGGAGTTCCAGACTAGCCTGAGCAAGAGTGAGACCTCCTCCCTACCAAAAAGAAAGAAAAAAAACTGAGCCAGGCCTTGTGGCACATACCTGTAGTCCCAGCTACATGGGAGGCTGAGGCAGAAAGATTGCTTACAGCCCAGGAGTTGGAGGTTGTAATGCGCTACAACAGAGTAGCAACAGACAGACTCTGTCTCAACAACAAAAAAAGAACAAGGCAACTGAACAGTCCTCCTCACAACCCCCCACACCTCCATATTTTTTTTAAAAAAGGGGAAAAGTCTAGAATATGCTAAAATATTTCACAGTGTTTAAATGACTTTCTTTCCCTTTTCTTAATCTTCTGTATGTCTTAAGGTTGTTTTTTTTGTTTTTTTTGTTTTTTTTTGAGACAGAGTCTCGCTTTTGCCCAGGCTAGAGTGAGTGCTGCAGTGTCAGCCTAGCTCACAGCAATCTCAAACTCCTGGGCTCAAGCAATCCCGCTGCCTCAGCCTCCCAAGTAGCTGGGACTATAGGCATGCACCACCATGCCTGGCTAATTTTTCCTATATATATTAGTTGGCTAATTAATTTCTTTCTATTTATAGTAGAGACGGGGTCTTGCTCTTGCTCAGGCTGGTTTCAAACTCCTGACCTCGAGCAATCTGCCCTCCTTGGCCTCCCACAGTGCTAGAATTACAGGCGTGAGCCACTGGCCTGTCTTAAGTTTTGAAAACAACAAACTACTTATTTTTCTGATTATATAAGTAAACAACATAAACCACAAACTTTAAAAAAAAACAAAAAACCTAACATCTAGGGAAATAGAGAAATGGAAAGTAGAATTTGTCTTGGATTTGAGTTCCATGAAGAAAAGTATTCTAATAAGAAAAAACAAAAACAGGCTATTAAGGAGAAATTTTTAGAAAAAAAAAACAACCAAAAAACATTTCACCAGAATATAGGATTAAGTGAGCTCACTGAAAAAGAAAAGAGATTACTTCTTTTTATTATAATACATTTTTTCAAAAAAATGAACTAGGGGGAACAACTGTTACATTATCTTAGGTTCTCTGTGAAGCCATATGTAAAGCAGTATCAAAGTGGGAGACTTCAAAGAAAAACAGTGGAATTCTCAATGCAAACTCACTGAATAGTTTTTTAAAAAATACATGAAGTAGAAACCTTACAGAGGGAGACATAAAAGTGTTAATTTGACAAAGGAATTTGAATTTTCAATTCATGTGATAAAAAGCCCTACTTTTGCCCACATTTTCCTACATTTCAGTTATCTGATCCACAAATCTCCTAGACTGATGTAACCCTGCATAAGATAGCAAAATAACAAATATACAAGAACCACAATAAACTCAAAATTATTTTTCTTGCTCTTTAAGACCAAGAGTAGCTTCCAAAAGGACCCATTGAATAGTAAACCTACCTAACACTGTTAGTGAGGCATTTGCTGAGAGGCCTCCTGCTATATTTTGTGCCATACAGCTATAGATTCCCATGTCTTCTATTTTCACATTGGCAATAAAGAAGACATCATCTTCAGGCATGACATGCATCCGTCTTTCTCGAGCTGCAGGAAAGTCAGTACCACCATCTTTCTGCCAGGAAATCTGAGGTGCAGGGTGTCCTTCTGCAGCACATTCTAATCTGGCCATGGCACCAGTGCGAATAGTTAGATCCATTGGAGTTTTCAGAAAAGATGGCATCTCTGTTCCAAGAAACATCACCAAGAAAAAGTGGGTGGGGAAAAAAGATCACACATACACACATGCATACAAATATACATGAAAGAGTCTAGTAGCAAAATACCAACTGTTGTAATGCTCCATTTCTTTGAGAACACATGCTCTCTGGATTGACAGTGAATATAGATTTAGAGGCCATCTACTCTCCCAGAATCTCAGAGTATCTGGAACACAGTGACAACTAACTCTTCTAGGATACATGATACCTACCTGATCATCTGATGGAAACAGGGAAAGCAGAAGGCGACAAACCTTTCTGAACTCCATATTTTAGAACCTGACATCTACCACAACCCCCTCACTTATATAGCTAAACAGTACTTCACAAATTAAAATCTATAAGGATGTCAAGGGAACTACATACCAAAACAATTTATGCCTTCAAAAATCTCATTAAAAAATACAGAAGCAAGACACAAGCACATCTTTCAGCTGCACAAAGCCTAAAATGTTGCAGTTACTCAATCTCATAAGCAAGAGAAATCAAACCATTTTGGAGAAGTTTTTGCAGCCACAGGGAAGAAGAGCATTAATTTCAAACAGTGATTGTGATTACATTTAGACAATAACAATGGTCACTGGACCTAAAAATGTCCTAAATATTCCTAGTTATCATAAGGCCCATCAGGAATAAATTTCATAGTTTTGAGGAGAGATGTATGGTTCTAGAAAGAAAATTGAGAATTTCCAAAGAATGTTTTAAAAAGCATAAACAGTGAAAGTAGTGTATATCTCCCAGGTCCACGAAATTTACCCTTCAATCAAAGACTAATTAGAGAGACTAAGTGGGCAGACTGGCTAATCCAAAAATCCCACCCACTCAATATAGTATCACAACCTAAAAGACAACAGTAAGATTTTCCTCCTCTAATGTCAGGTTTAGCCTAATTTTTTTTCAAGTGATTTAAAAACTAAACATGAAAAATTCTTCTAAACTAAAAAAAATTAAAAAAATCAAGGAGCATAATTCCTTACCATTCACAGTCAGTCTGGCTTTCTGAGAATAATTGGAACCAAAGTGATTGGTAACAATACACTGATACTTTCCTTCATCTGTGAAATTCACATTGAAAAGATGTAAGATACTGGTATATTCCAGAGCTTCTCCAGCTTGTTGCCGATAACGAACAAAATTCTCAATATCCACATCATAAAGGATTTCACTGTCTTTGCGCCACACAGTGGACATGGGTGAATCACTGCTGCTCACTGCAGTGCACATGACAGTCACGTTCATGCCCCTTAGAGCAACTGTGTTTTCAGGATGTGTCCTCATCTGTGGCTTGAGAAAATCATCTAAAGGGAAAAAATGCAGCAGTAGCCAAGTCAGTTATTTATCTTTGCTTCTTAATATTCAATTTTAAAACAAATACTATCAAACTGTGTGTTCTGTTTACAAGATGGTATATTAAGATTGAAAGTAACTATAAGCACTAGAACCCAATTCCCTTGTTTGTTTACTTGATGGGGAAAATGAGGCCAGAAATGTCAAGTGACTTGCTCAAAGACTTGTGAGTCAGTGGCAGAACCTGGACTGGGACTCAAGTTTCCTGACTTTAGGATTTAGCACTCTTTCCACTATCCCTTACTGTCACTTGTGTGCTTAGAATGTGTTTCCTTAAGGATCACCAGTTATTGGGGAAAAACAGAAACCTCTCAAGAGAAGTTCTAATTCTATTACCCTGTGTATATATATGTATATAATACATATATAAACATGTATATAACCACTATCTTTTCTGTGTCAGTGTAGAAGATGGGGATTATGAACTTATATTTCACAAGGAATACTTATTAATAAAACAAATTATTTCAAAGTACTTTGTATGTGCATAGCTTTTACCTAAAATACTAAAAAATTCTAGATATGTCAAATGTCTAAATCAAGATCCAGCTTATGACTGCCTAATAAAATATAAATTCATAAATAAAAATATCATTTGACAGATTCAGAGAAGTGGGTATATGAATTCTTAACCAATATCTTCACTGGGTAACATTTAATTGTGCCATAAAAGTGGAAAGTGGAAAAGGAACATAAAATATATAGAATGTCTACATTTAAAACTGAGTCAGAAGGGACTATGTGGATTCCTGTAATGGCTGCTTCCTGGAAGGCTGTATCACGTGGAATCTCTTAGCCTTAGCATCCAGAGCTCCAAGAAAAGAAAAATTCCAAGTCAGATAGAATTACATATACACAATTTCTTTGGAACCGTCAGCCCTCAAGATCCCAACATCATGACTTCCGTTTCAACACAACTGCTCTCAGTCTTCATTTCACTGCTTTTGGTACTGCCTGTTGTTGAAGCAGTGAAAGCTAAAGATGCAATTGCTCTTTCGTTAGGTATGGTTCTCGGCACTACAGGAATTTGTGCTTGCTTGGGGGTACTTGCACAGAAAAGGACAGATGTGACTTTGAAGGACCTCCTGAATCAAACCTTGCCCTGAAAACTTTTGTTGAGGCTAAACCTGTACTTTGGTGCCTGAAAGTTTCCCAGCTATAGTAAATAGGGGAGTTTCATATTCTTTGTTGTTTCCCTTTAAATGGGAACATACTGATATGTAAATGGGAAAATATGTTTTCTTTACAACAAGTAATGTACTATAAAGTGCAGCCTATAATTTATATTTGCTCATTAGAAAGGCAGTCAAAGAAGGTGGCTGAAATTTATATATGTAATATTGTGTAGTTTTAGAATTTTCAAAGCATGTGAAACAGGAAGGAAGCTTTTGCTCAGAATCCTAGAAATTGCCACTGTTAGGTTATAATCACTGCCTCCTGAATTGCTGAGGAGTCTTTTCTCCATATTTTTATTAGATTTTTGTTTTATCTTCCAAGTTAATATTGTATTAGATATCACACAGTCAAACAAAAATTGAAATGTTTATCACTAGGTAAAAAATATTTAGGAAAATGTATTCAGTGTATCTAATATTGAAATGGAAAAAAGATTTAATTAAAAAAACTGAATATGAACATTGAAATAAAAAGATCTAATGTAAAAAAAACCCTTATATTAATTAACTCAACATCCTCCTGGTGAAAAGTACTATATTAAATATAAACCTATTATGTTAAAAAAAAAAAAAAGGAACGTGTGGCAATGTAAACAGAATTTAATCTTTACTAGATTCTTTGTTTTCTTCGTTCAGATCTGTTAAAACAATGGGCCTAAAATTCCAAGTATCTCATGCACCTTTAACTGGATTGTGAAAAAAGATCTGGCAATATATTAATATAGGCACCAAAATGATCAGAGATACCAATGATATGCAACACAGATACAATGATCTAGAAATTCTCCTATGTAAAGCTAAGAATCAGTCATTTCACTTTAAAGGAGAGTTAAGTGTAAAGGAAAAATTTCCACGTTGAGAAAGTACAATATAGTTCATTACTTGAAATTGTAAGTGCTAGAATCAGGACAACTTGCCTATGACTACTCTCCTCCTCTCAAGGAAAAACCAAAACCCTGCCACTTTAGTCTTAAGAAACTACATCAAAAATACAAACTACATGAAATCAGTACATTCATACATTGCTGGTGACAACATAAACTAGTGCTATCTTTTTGGAAAAAACCTGGTATCATTTTTCAAGATCTACTAAAAATGTTCATGTAAAAAAATCATATTTTTTGATTCAGGAATCTTACTTCCAGATACTTATTCTAAGGTTAACAATGCCTCTAAAAGGGAAAGGCCTACACACACATTCATAAAAACGCTATTATACTGCCATTTAAAATGATCACCTAAGAACACAGAGAAAAAACACTGCTTATGAAATATCAAGTCATAGAACACAAAATTTAACCTATGATTACAAAAATATAAAATGTAATCATTGAAATATGGGTTGGAGAACAACCGAGAAATGGAAATAGATGTGCTAGTGGGAAAGCATTCTGGTTCAATTTTTTAAAAATTCTTTTGTTAAGATAGTAACTGTATCTCACTTTAAGTCATTTCTTTAAAAAAAAAAAAAAAAGATAGTAACTGTGTAATATATAAAATTTTAAAGCAAAAATACAAACCACAGACAAAATCTTTCAGATCCACATTCAGGATGCTTTGCCCTGCTAGCCATTCAGGGTGTGCACAGCTTACATTCACAGAATGTTGAAAGTTATTATCAACCAGCCATTGAAGTAACCACTTCAAATGGCAGTCACAGAGCAAACTGCTTGTGTTCAGAATCCTGCAGAAAAGAAAAGAGGAAAAGTAACCTTTGTTTTACTTTTCATTCTTAATTCCTTCAGCATTAAAACCTTACCACATACCTATGCACTTTCCTTGCCAAAAATGTTTAACCTGAAATCTAATCATGAGAAAACAAATTCAGACTGTCAGCCTGAATTCCTCAAATATGTCAATGTCATGAAAGACACTAAATAAGGATGGAGAAACAAGGGTGGCAAGGGACCCATTTTAGCTTAAAGAAGACTAAAAAGCCATTATAAGCAAATGAAATGCATGATTCTTGATTGGAAAAAAAATCTACAAAGGACATTTTTTGACACTGGGGGAATTTGAGTATGTTTATTAGATATTATTTTATCAATGTTAATTTCCTTGGACATGAGATAATGATGATGTGATTATACAGGAAAATGTCCTTGTTCTTAAAAAATATGCTGAGATATTTAGGGGTAAAGTGTCATGATGTCTGCAATAGTAAGCAAAAAAACTGTGTGTGTGTGTGTGTGTGTGTGAGAGAGAGAGAGAGAGAGAGAGAGAGAAAGAGAGAGAGAGTGTGTGTGTGTGTGTATGTGTGTAGAGACCAAGCACAAGAGACAGTGAGAGGAAAATACATAACAAATTTGGCGAAAAGTTAACAATTAGTGAATCTAGGTAAATGGTGTATGGGTATTCACTTTAAGTTCCTTTAAATTTTTGAGGTTTAAAATTGTTCTCACAGAAGTCTAGGGGAAAGTTTACTCTATATATTGGAGCATTGAGAAATCTTTGTTGTAGAGTATATGATAATTTTCAAATCATATAGGCCTATAAAATATATCTGAAAAATCAGTATTTTCTCTCAATGACCCCTTAAATGTCCTGTCCACTTTGAAGCAAAGAAAGCAAATTGAGTTTGAGAACATTATAACTTGATTTATGTGCATGATAATCTTCATCTAGTTTATTTTGGTTTTTTTTTTTTTTTTTTAGACAGAGTCTCCCTCTGTCGCCCAGGCTAGAGTGAGTGCCATGGTGTCAGCCTCGCTCACAGCAACCTCAAACTCCTGGGCTCAGCGATCTCCCTGCCTCAGCCTCCCGAGTAGCTGGGACTACAGGCATGCACCACCATGCCCGGCTAATTTTTTGTATATATATTTTTAGTTGGTCAATTAATTTCTTTCTATTTTTTGGGTAGAGACGGGGTCTCGCTCAGGCTGGTTTCGAACTCCTGACTTTGAGCAATCCGCCCGCCTCGGCCTCCCAAAGTGCTAGGATTACAGGCATGAGCCACCACGTCCGGCCTTTTTTTGGTTTTTTTTTTTTTTTTGAGACAAAGTCTTGCTTTGTTGAACAGGCTAGAGTGAGTGCCATGGCGTCAGCCTAGCTCACAGTAACCTCAAACTCCTGGGCTCAAGCAATCCTACTGCCTTAGCCTCCCGAGTAGCTGGGACTACAAGCACACACCACCATGCCCAGCTAATTTTTTCTATATATATTAGGTGGCCAATTAATTTCTTTCTATTTACAGTAGAGACAGGGTCTTGCACTTGCTGAGGCTGGTTTCGAACTTCTGACCTCGAGCAATCTGCCCGCCTCGGCCTCCCAGAGTACTAGGATTACAGGCGTGAGCCACCACGCCCGGCCTCTTCATCTAGTTTTAAAGTTTGGTATAAAGTATCTAAGATCTGATTCCATAGAAGTTTCAGTCTTTGAAAGTATCTCAAAAGATATTTTATCAAGGGTAATTTTAATTAAACAAGCCAAAAGTTACCTTTTGCATTTAAGAATTCTCAAATTATTTTTATTCATCCACACAGAAATATTTAAGTCTATATGCCAAGTACTTTCTAGGCTGTGGGAATATGTGGGGATATAGCCTTCATGGAGCCTGTGTATTTAGAGCCAAGTAATAAATGCAAAATATAGTGTCAAAAAGTATTAGGTGCTGTGAAGAAAAACAAAGTTAGGCAAAGACATAGAGACAGCAGCTACTAGTTTAGAGACGTGATCAGGGGAAGTTTTTTGAAGAAAAGGCAGTGGGGCAAGGACCGGAAAGAAGTAAAAGGGCAAATTGTGATGATCTGATCTTAGAGCACCCCAGACAGAGGAAAGTGCGTGAAAAGCTTTGAAGCAGACCTACTTGGTATGCTCAAGCAAAAGCAAGGAGGCCACTGAAGCTAGAGCACAGTAAGAGTGACAGGAATGTGCAGAGAGCTGGGAAAAGAGGATCAGCCATGCAGGTGCTTTATAAACAAAGGAAAGGACTTGAGTTTTATTTATTTTTTCCCTTAAGTGTAATGGGAAGCCATTGGAATGTTAAGAATAGAGGAGTGATATGGTCTGATTTGTTACCTTAGTTATAATTTTTTTATACTAGATTCATGAGACCTGGGCTCATCCCACTCCACTACTTACCTTCGACACAATACTGAATGCCTTCAAAATCTCAGTTTCCATTTCTGGAAAATGAAATTGAGAATGCCTACCTCAAAAGAATTTTAAATCAAGCATTTAGCACAGTGCCTGCCTGGCCATAAACAATACTCAATTCATGGTAGCTCCCTTTACTTCTATTTCTTTTACTTCTTTCCATCCTTCACACACTAACCAACCCTTCCCACAAGTACCTAACAGAGTACTCTGCATTCTCTCAACAAGTGTGTGGATACATAATAAAATATTAATAATAGTGATTGGTTTTGAGTAGTGGGGGATTCAAAGGTCTTTTTAATGAAAAATATTTTCAAATTTATATGCAACTCTTTCATACACCTCCAAATACTGATGCAAAGCACTGTGAGGAATACCAAAAAGTATAAAGAAAAGTTTTAATAAATGTTGACCTAAAAAGTATTATAAATATGACTTAAAGTACCAAAAGCAACCAAAACTTCTCAGTAAAAACTGCATTAGAGTTCCTGTAATAGCAGTTTGTTCAAACCAGCTATTAAGAGAAAATAGTATTCAATGATACTTCTTAAAGCATTGTAAGGATAGTAATCTTTGGATTAAGGACCAGATAAATCCTCTGTAGGAACTGGGTAGTAGAGGGTATTTGCTAGATGGTGTGTGCAATCAGGTATTTAATGAGGGGAATTTCTATAAAGATAAAATTTTAAAAACAAAGGTTTCCTAGCACTTTGGGAGGCCGAGGCGGGTGGATTGCTCAAGGTCAGAAGTTCGAAACCAGGATGAGCGAGACTCCGTCTCTATCAAAAATAGAAAGAAATTAATTGACCAACTAAAAATATATATACAAAAAATTAGCTGGGCATGGTGGCGCATGCCTGTAGTCTCAGCTACTTGGGAGGCTGAGGTAGTAGGATCGCTGAGCCCAGGAGATTGAGGTTGCTGTGAGCCAGGCTGACCCCACGGCACTCACTCTAGCCTGGGCAACAAAGTGAGACTCTGTCTCAAAAAAAAAAAAAAAAATATATATATATATATATATAAATAAATAAATAAATAAATAAATAAATAAATAATAGAAACAAAGGTTAATGGTTAGAACAAACTATAAATTCAGTTTTTGAGTCAAGAGGGCAGTCAATCAAGATGATTTCTAGATGTTGGGCTCCAAGCATCTTCAGATGGATGAGGACAGGCCATGACAATCTGACAGTGTTTCTTTGCTTGTAGTTTCTAGTCTCTAGTAATGTCAGAGGGTGTTAAGGTGAACTTTTCGAGTGGCCCATACAACATGGTTGTCCATACATGATCAGTTGTGGTGATTTCTCTGAAGTTTATATCAAGCCATCCAGCTTCAGCTTGTAGGGCTTCAGAAAGGGGCAGTTTCATAAATTATGCCAGGTTAGGAAAGTGGGAGAAAAATTTGTTTGGAGAGTTGTTAACAGACACTGGAGGAAACTAGAATTGAGAATATAGTAAGGACTGGCAAAAAGTGTAAGACAGAACCCACAAGGGCACACTACAATTTTCTACTAAAACAAAAAAAAAAATTTCTCTCTACAATCAACTCCCTTTCTCTATTTGTTTACAAAATAAGTCTGGTCTCATTAGATTTGGCCTGATCATTTACGTAAGTGCAGCAAGAATGGTAATTGACTACAAAGGCCTTTTGAATTTGCTTTGCTGGAACTTTTCCAAAAAAAATTCTGATTTGATTTTTTAAAAGCTTCCTCAAAGCTAACTTCGCCTTTAGTACCTATATTTGGGTGAAATCTCTTCTTGAGGTTACCGAAATATTATCAAGTTTCTAGGGCTGCCAGGAAGTGACCTCTTTTACTCACCTGTAAGGCAAAGAGCCCTGTAAGCAAGGTATCAGGCCAGTTTTACCAGGGGGCTTTATTAGAACTTGTGCCTTAAAAATCAATCTTGGTTCCTTAAGGCTGTCTGGTCATATCTAATTTTACACATCATTCTCAAATAGGACATTCTGGTCAAAGCCTTGGTAATATAGCCAATGCTCCCAATTATGCCCTGTTACAAGAATAGATTCCTATTGAGTTTATGCAAATAATGATATTGCCATGAAAATGAGAATACTCATTAAGTTTCTGAATTCTGGAGGGATCAGGCAGGGATAAAAACTGTTTCACTTTTTGTTCACAAAGTATACTTTACCAAATTGCTGTAAGTTATAGATAGCTTAAGAGAAAACAAAAATGGGTTCCTTAAATCTGGAAATACATTACGGAACCAGCAATGTTCCAAAACAAGAATCATCCTTTATCAATTCATTCAGTTCCATGTAACTAATTCTTGTTTTGTTTAATCTCAGGTTAACAGTTTTATGAACCCATCAGTTTCTTCATTAGAGTTCTGGAAATTCTTCCTTAGTCCAATGGTATGATCTTAAAGTTATTGGAAATTATACCTCCTATAATGCTTAAGTAAAAAAAAATAAAAATAAAAAAAAACAAAGTTATTGGAAATTGGTATTTGTCAGAGTCTTTTCCATGAATCTCTCACAAGATGAAACACTTTTAGACAATAGCTGCTTGCAAAAGCTTTCAGGAAACCATCAAACAACTGTCTGAATGATAAATGACTTAAAATGGATATGACTAAATTTGAGAGTTCATGTGGTAAGTAAATTTAGTTATTTCTGTGGCATACATTTTAACATAACCAAAATTATGACTATTAATAACATTATGCCAGACATATCATGAAATGTGAGAGTACTGACAAATTTCTTTGAACTTCAGAAAACTTCTCAATACTTGTATTAATAATACATATCCATACAAATATAACCTACAGATTTAGAATCACTTCTTGACAGTATTCCCCACCCACATAACTTACCAAATAAACCTAATTAGTTTAATACCTCTCTTTTTATAAGGTGAGAGATAAATTCTTTAAGATTTTCCAGGAGCCTTCTGGAAAATCTCAGAGTTAATTCAAGGTCAAAAAGATTTTATTTTGACTTTGACTTGGGGAAGTTGTCACAAATGTCAAAATGTTTGAACACTTGATTAAATAGAATCAAAGATAATTATGAAACGCTTATCTATTTAACCAAAGTGACAAAGATTTTAAAGGCAAATACAGAAGGTTATATAGCTACAAACAAAACTTAATTCTTTTAAAATCAAGAAGACTCAGTTTTCTTAAGTAATGAAAGACCTGATAAAGACAACATGAAACAGGAATGGTGGAGGTAGGGATTTGAAGTAAGACATATCAAAGGATTCAAGGAAACTGGAGGAAGTATTAAGGGCAGTAAGAGGGCCTGGCGCGGTGGCTCACGCCTATAATCCTAGCACTCCGGGAGGCTGAGGCGGGTGGATTGCTCAAGGTCAGGAGTTTGAAACCAGCCTGAGCAAGAGTGAGACCCCATCTCTACTAAAAATAGAAAGAAAATGAATTGGCCAACTAAAAATATATAGAAAAACTTAGCCGGGCATGGTGGCATATGCCTGTAGTCCCAGCTACTCGGGAGGCTGAGGCAGTAGGATCGCCTGAGCCCAGGAGTTTGAGGTTGCTGTGAGCTAGACTGACGCCACGGCACTCTAGCCAGGGCAACAGAGTGAGACTCTGTCTCAAAATAAAAAAAAAAATAAAAAAAAAAGAAATGAAATAAAATAAAATAAAATAAAGGCAGCAAGAGGAGACAGGAACAGTATCAATGGGAAGGGAGAGATCTTAGAGGAGCCAATTTCGGGAGATCTTAAGTTTCCCAAAGATGCCAATGTGAAGTTCCAATAAGAAGGAGGCACACAGAGTTGGTGGAGCATATAGTCACCAGTGGTTCAAGAAGAAGGAATTCAGATGACAGAGAAGTTCCCAGGGGAGAAGCAGGATCCAACAGAGAGAACAGAGAGGCCTAACAGAGTGACAGGAAGGACTTTCAGCCCAAGGAAGTCAGGGAGTAATCCTCACTCAGGAAAGATAGCCAGGAAAATGACCCACTACCCCAGGAGGTACCTTTCAAAAGAAGCCTGGGACTCTAACACAACTTCAGAGAACATACTCAGAATCTTAAGAATCAAAATATTTTCTTACCAGCTTCAACGGACGTTTGTCCGGAGCAATGGTTCATGACTCTGACTCACTATTGGATCCCCGATCAATCAGTCAGGAGTGAAGACAAAGGTTTCAAAGGTCCATATTTGGGTCCTGGGTGAGAGGTCCGGGGGTCCAATGATGAATCTTATCCTATCTGAGTCACAGCACTATAACTGTTAAAGAAAAAAGTGCTCAATGATACTTGTTAAAGCACGGGAAGGCAGACTTTATTCAGAACCATCTTGATGGGTATAGGAGCCATAGCTATGGGATTTTGCAGTGGGGCAGAAAGACTGGGCTCAACTCTGAATACAGCAAGGCCAAGTGGAAATTTGTAGCCAAGGAGCAGGGCAGGGTGGGCATTAGTGGATCAAAAATTACTAAGAAGTAACATCTGGAGTAAGGGAGACTTTGGCTAAATCTACCTAACAGAATTCTTGCTAAAGACAAGCCAGGGTGATCAGATATCACCTAGGGAATGGTGTAGAGCTGGAGAATGGTGTAGGATGAGGAAGAGTTCTTGCAAATTGGTTTTACAGGGCTCTTGCTAAAATCAGATTTTACAAGCAAGTGTACAGATCAGATAGGAGAAGGTTTAAGAGTCTGCCTAAAGTTTGGTCAAGCAAAGAATCTTTGTTACAACTCCCAAATTACTAAATGACTCTCTTAATATGGAAACTGCAGTCTTTGCTTTCACCTACTATTTAAATTATATGTTAAACTGAGTTCTCACAACAATAGTTAAAACTTTCTTGCTGGCTCTCCTGGTTATCACTGGCAACAAAAAGGTAACACTGATTTGTAATAAGTCACAATTTACCATTAAACTAAGCCTAGAAGAAAGAACTCAAAATGTCTCAACAGACCAAAAAAAGTTACTTTAAAAATCTGGCAGGAAATAACTAATAATGATTTTCATAACATTTTAACTTTTGTGTTTATTAATATTAGTTATTCAACTTTTACTGTGTGTCAGGTTCTGTGCTGAGCAAGACCCTCCAATGTTACCTAATGCATTTAGGGAAAAAAATCTTAATTCCTGGTGGCCCCACATGATCTGACTCCTGCTTCACTTTCTGCCCTTATTTCTCTTGCTTTTCCCTGTGCCTGGAAAACCCTTTATCCACTATTCACATGGTTTGCCATTTCATTACATTAAGGTCCTACTCAAATGTTTCTTCAGAAGAGTTTCCCCTCACTACTTCATCTAAAACAGCAATAATTCCTGTCACTCTGCATACCTTTGACCTACTTTGTCTTCAGAACACTAGGTAATGAGATATTATGTATCTACTGGTTTATTATCTTCCATACTAGAATTTATTATAATATGCTATGAGCAGAGACTCTGTGTAGTTCACTGTTGTGTTTTCAGCATCCAGAATGGTACCTTGCATAGCAGATGAATAAATATTTGAGTAAACAAATTATCTCATTTTATCTTCACATAATCCTGAGGGAGGTGCTATTCCCATTTTGAGGGGAAAAGAAAACCTGAGTCTTAGGCTAAACAATGTGCCCACTGTCACATAATTTATAAGGAATGGAGCAAGGATTTGAACCTAAGCAGTTTGAAAACTCGCACATTTTCAGTACATCTCAAATTATCTGTCATAAGGACCAATTTTTTCAATTTCCAATCCATTGCAGACCACTACTTTTATAAACTACAACAGAAGTGTCACAGTAATTACAATTTGTTCTAATAGTTTCTAAATGCTTATTCTGAATTTCCATGCTTATCTTGTCATGAACGAGTTCTGCTCCAGACCATCCTGTAAGTAACTTCCAGGCAAGGCAAAATAATTGCTATAGTCTAGTGGTCCTTAAACCTGGCTGTATATTCGAACCACCAGAGTTTAAAAATAATATCAAAGCTTACCCTAAACACCTCTCCCCCAAGGAAATCTCTAAACCAAAAGAGCAATTTTAAAGTCATGAATGAAAAAGAATATAAAATTACATATATCTCTGTGTGTGTGTGTATATGTATTTGTCTATTGCAACTATTTAACAATTTTTTAACATTTTAGTAGTTTGAACAACAAATTAGAGACATCCGCTCTGACAATCATACTTAAAGTGCTAGATCACCTCAGTAACTAAAAAACAAAATCACATAATACCCTAATTGTAACCAACCCAAGGGTAAGAATTGTGAACACATGTTTATGATAGTCCACAAAGGAATGGATGGGAAAAAGAAAAAAAAAGAACAGTAGGGTATACATAATTCCCTAATTATGTATAGGTTATGTTAGGTGCTACAATTCCCTAATTATAAGCATTAGCAGCACAGGGAAAACAGAAGGTCTTGGTGCCACACACTCTAGACTTTTCAATGTTGGGTTATTTTAAAATTATATCCAGCCACTAAAATAACTGAGCAGTAACACTTTCTTTTTTTATGCCTGAACTGTGTGCTTCTGCAAATACTTGGGTCACTTTCATTACACTTTAAGCACAAGCAGGAACAATGACCTAATTGGTAATAAAAAAGACTTAAGTTACTTACAGTTCTTTCAAGTGAGTCTGAGAAAAAGCATTTTCTTGGATAGACATTATAGCATTATTGTTCAAATCTCTGAAATAAAGAGAAATGAAACATTATCGGTCACCATTTCTATAATTGAATTACATAAACACCTTACAAGGTCATGAAAACCTCTTCTAATAGCAAAGATGATATATTAATAGTAAGAAAATGTATGCAGAATACTTACAGATGCTCAAGGGATTCAAGACCAATGAATGCTTTCTTTGTAATTGACTTAATCTGGTTTCCTTGTAAGATTCTGAAATACAAACAGACCTTTCTAATAAAGCTATCCACTAAACAAAATTAAATTCATTACACATTTACCTATAAAAGGTGAAAATAAGCTTAACTTTTTTTTTGTATTATTTAACCACTTTAGTACCGCGCCCACCTGCCGCAAAACCTTGCCCACAGCCGGCACTCATAGTCTGCACGATAGTTTGTGCTGTGCATTGACGACGAATCCATTTTGCTCTTGTGTGATGAGGAAAGCTTTAAAGCACTGAAAGCTTGTTTTACTTTACAAGCAGCTTTACTTGTAATGTAAATCAGAATAGGTAACATATACATATATGTTTTCATTGCGTTATTTTTAAATGTTCACAATTTTATTTTGATAAATGAAAAATTAGAAAAGTCATATCACAGCTGTCCACTAAAGTCGACACTCGGCTGTGGGCCTTCATATCACAGCTGTCGGTTAAAGTCACTGTGCGCGTTCATCTGTGACTATCGACTATAGTCAACGCTGGTACCGAAGTGGTTAACAGCTTTATTGAAGTATAAATGATATACAAAAAAATTGCACATATTTTAATGTGTACAACTTGATAAGAACACACATTTTTAAGAAAGTTATGAATTTTTATTATTAACCAATAGCATAAAAGCTTCTATTAAGATGTTGGAGCCGGGCGTGGTGGCTCACGCCTGTAATCCTACCACTCTAGGAGGCTGAGGCGGGCGGATTGCTCGAGTTCAGGAGTTCAAAACCACCCTGAGCGAGACCCTGTTACTACTAAAAATAGAAAGAAATTAATTGGCCAACTAAAAATATATATACAAAAAATTAGTCGGGCATGGTGGCACATGACTGTAGTCCCAGCTACTCAGGAGGCTGAGGCAGTAGGATCACTTGCACCCAGGAGATTGAGGTTGCTGTGAGCTAGGCTGACACCATGGCACTCACTCTAGCCTGGGCAACAAAGTGAGACTGTCTAAAAAAAAAAAAAAAAAAGATGTTGGAGCTCAATGAGGTACCTCTGAACGACCATCCTGGCCACTGATAAACTGGTAGTTCTCATATACTAAATTAGTTTATATTCCTCATTTCTACCTTCTTAGCAAAAGATAATCAGGTTAAAGAAACTGAGAGAAGTGTGAATCTTTGGAGAAATTCTTCTCATGGCAGAAGATTTAAAATCTTTTTTGAGAGAATACTCTCCTTCTCTGCTATATGAATTACCCATAAAGCTCCCACGATTAAACAGATGACCATTATCAGTTCAACTCTAGTTTCTCAGCACATTTCCTTTACTTAAACAGAAATTCTACTTCCATAAATAACTTCTCTTCAAGTGTCTGCTGAAATGCTTTGTCAATAAAAAGTGCCCCACCAACAACTACCTCCCAAAATGAAAAACAGCACTTGATAAACAATGAAGCTCCCAGATGGGTCAGAAAGCTCAGAACTTCTAGCCATATCAAATAAATATAATTCAATCACATTTACAACTGGTTCTTAAAAATGCACCTCTGTACACATACATAAATGTTATAAATACATACAATTTTGTGAGACTTGTGAGTCCAGCAAAGGCTTCACTAGCATCTTCTATGGCCCATGAAATTTCATTGTTTCTTAAGTCTCTACAAAAATATCAAAGACAGGTTATGTTAGTCAACATGATCATCACACCATCGGACAGCACCCTGGCATGGGCAAGGTGCATGTGCTAATTATAATCCTTCTTTTAAACAGTTATTTATGATAAAGACCCAATTCTGCTTCTTAAGGGATATCTGTAATAAACATGTAAGAACTGATTCTCATAGGCTAAGAATTAAGCTGGCCTTGATAAATAAATTAAGCAATCTGCTAAGAGTATTAATCTTCCTAGCTAACAGCCTCTAATTGTATTAGCATATTCAAAATTATAGACAGAGTCCTGCAAAAAGCAGGAGTATTTCAAGATGCAAGAGGTATGGCTTACAAATCTGATTTCAGACTAATGGGATTTCTGGGTGACCCAAGCCTTCCCCTGGGCCCTTAAACTTAAAATGGCTGACAAAGAGTAATATCAATACAGAGCCTCACAGCTCAAGAGCAATTAAACATGCCCCCTGGGAAGCAAGAGTGATATACTCATGTGTTAGAGTAGTCACTATATTTTCTTTAAAAGGGAAAGTATGGATCTTTCAAAATCCACTGTTCCATTTTCAGAGGAAATGCAATTACACCACACCATGGGCTGATGGAAAAAATACTAGTTACAAATATTTAATCACTTTTCCTTCCTTAAGTCATCTATAATAAAATAAAGCACAAAGGTTTTTGCTTTGTAAGGCACACGTAAAGTTGTGTGATTAGTATTAATCACATATTAGTATTAATAGTAAGGAGATAGGAGATCTCTCTTTTCACTTAGCTATCTTTAGGTGAAAAGCTACCAAAATTCATTTATTTTACTAAAGAATAAACACAGAAACAATTAGCTGCTCAACTCTTCAGGACTTTACCCTTCCTCCACAGCATAGCATAAACAGAAATCATTCACCAAATTAAGTCAGAACAATATCTACTCTGGCAAAAGCATGAGGCTAAAGCCAGAGTTTCTCAGATCTGATCCTAATTCTGCCTTAACTATCTCTTTGGCATTGAACAACCACTTACTTCTGCAATTACCTTCCTAAACTTTTAATTCTAAAAGTAATGATCAGTGGTATACTGAAAGAATCAGTTTGTCATCCTTTTAATTGCCAAAAGGCTGTAACTGCATCTAAATTTTTGAGTTTGCAATGATCTACATTTCACCTCTGATAATGTAAGAAAAGTGGGGGAAAAAAGGAAATCACTGTTATTTTACTTTTTTACATTTATCTGAGAGACAGTTTTAAAGAAATCACTTTTAATTTTTCAAGGACAAATCTGAAAGAAGTTAAAAAGAAAAAAATCAGGCGAGGAGTGGTGGCTCACACCTGTAATCCTAGCACTCTGGGAGGCCGAGGCTGGAGGATTGCTCGAGGTCAGGAGTTCAAGACCAGTCAGAGCAAGAGCGAGACCCCGTTTCTACTAAAAATAGAAAGAAATTAGCCAAACAACTAAAAATATATAGAAAAAATTAGCAAAGCATGGTGGTGCATGCCTGTAGTCCCAGCTACTCGGGAGGCTGAGGCAGGTGGATTGATTGAGCCCAGGAGACTGAGGGTACTGTGAGCTAGGCTGATGCCATGGCACACTAGTCTGGGCAACAGAGTGAGACTCTGTCTCAAAAAAAAAAAAAACATCAAACACACATCTATGCACGTATATACACCTTCACAAAATTATCATGCTTTCTTTCTCATTGATGGTTAAGTCCCAAAGTTGGGGGAGCCTTCCTCTCTTCTGAAACTATTTCAACTCTGAACCTGATGACTACAAAATCCCCTATTCAAGAACCTTAAGAACAGAAACTCTACTAATTACTCTTTGTTTTCTCCTATTCAGCTCTATGTTTGAGATTACTATATTTTGTTAAAATACTTCTTCATTCAATAAAATTATACTCTAAAATTTATATTCACATATAAGTACATAAAATTATAAAAATACATTCTTATATTCTGTAAGTTGAATAACTTAAGAGAATCAAAGAATTTTAGAGTTGAAATTGCTTTTAACAACCATCTAATCTATATCTTTCTTTCACTGGATGAAGAGACAAGGAAAATAACGTCCAGGAAAGGCTAAGTGATTTTGTTCCTCTGGAGGTATGATGAAATGCATATAAGCTTCAGCATCAAACAGACCTGAGTTCTAATTCTGGCCCAAACATTTACAATCTATGTGACATTGAGAAAATAATTTTAATCTCTCAGAAGACTCCGTCTCCTAATATGGAAAAGAGCAATAAGCATCCTAGAATTTGAAAGCATCTGACACACATCAGATAAGCGTTTGTTTCTTCTGTTCAAAGTCATGCAGCAAACAAGTAACAGTAATCAGGTCTCCTGCCAAAGCTCCTCCCACTACACATCCTGCACCCTCTTGAATGAGAACTAGTAGTTCTGGTGCACAAAGTTGGAGGAACAAGAAAATGACTGCATTCTTGACACTAGCAACTATGACACAATAAGACAAGCTTTGGTCTTTAGGTGATTAACTGAGAATAAAAGTACAAGCTGAACTGCCTACTATAAGATTGAGATAAAAAAAATTATGGGGATAGAGACAAATAAGACTGTCTTTCTCTAAGGCACAGGATAGAAAAACCACAAAATATTAGCATACATAAATTTGCAGACTGATTAGTTGTTTTATAATTAATTTGCTTTATTGTGTTTAAAAAAAAGTACTCCTCTCCCTCAAAAAGGAGGATGAATATACTTACAGTGTCTGGAGATTGGAAAGAAACCTAAACACACCATCAGCAATGTGGGTGACTCTGTTGTCCCCTAAATTCAATCTCTCCAGTAAGCTCAGACCCACAAAGGCAGATTCATCCAGGCGAGTCAGCTGGTTATAAGACAAATCACTGAAAACAGAAAACATGGAAGGTAAGGCATTGATTGTATTTTGGTTTAACTTACAAATTCTTATTATATTTACATGATAAAATTAGAGCTTTCGACAAACTTCTAGCAAAGAGGGGTGTTAGATCTCATTATTGGCCACAGAAATGATTTATTCCAACCTGCTCTAGTCTCACAGCCTCCAATGAAATGCCATCCAACACTTACAGTTCGGATAGTCTTTGGCAAAATTCCCATGCATCAGGACTGATTCTTTCAATAGCATTCTGGCTCACATAGAGCTGCTGTAACATTCGCAAGCCATACAACCACCCTTTGTTCACTCGTGTAAGATTATTGTGTTCCAGTTCTCTGCAGAATTCAGAGAGAAGAGAAAATATGTTCCAAAACAAGGCATTTCAGTAAGTACAGTTTTAAATCTTTATTAAGTCTTTCTCAGACACACATATACACCTTTGCTCCACCCAAGTGAACTGACAAATTCTATTCAATAAATATTTGTATCTTATTTCAGATTTGGTACTAAGAAGTAATAAGACTGTTTAAAATATCAGCTCTACAAAACTAACAGGCTAAGTGGTACAAAACACCTGTACTAGATAAATTCTGATACTTTTCATTAGCCAAAACATAAAGGGAATGTAAACTTTTTAGATGAGAAATTTGTAAGAATGATGACAAAAATATCAGTTAACTAACAAAACTTAAAAGCTTTGTGTATACTTATTTCACATAAGAGAATAAAGAACTAATGTACCTTTTTCTCTGATTAAGTTAATTTTTAATTATGTGTATATAATAGTTATATATATTTATGAGGTACATGTAGTGTTTTGATATACACATCCAATGTGTAATAATCAAATCTGGGTAACTGGGATATTCCTCACCTCCAGCATTTATCGTTTCTTTGTGTTAGGAACATTCCAATTCCACTCTTCAATTATTTTAAAATATACAATAAATTATTGTTAACTCTAGTCACCCTATTGGCTATTGAATATTAAATTTTTACTCAGGAACTAATGTACCTTTGCATAATCAGAGCAATTAACCTAGCCATTTGGCATTGAAAAGTACCACACAGACTCCTTCCCTAATAATCCTCTCTAATTTCTACTACTTACAGTTCTTCCATGTTATTCAAGCCAAAAAATGCTCCATCTTTAAGTTTGCTAATTCCATTCCGTTGCATTTTCAAAGATCTTAAGGAGTCAAGCCCTTGGAATGTAAGACCTTCCACAATTTTAATCCTGTTTCTTTTAAGTTCCCTTTAACAAAAATAGTTTTATAGTCAGAAAATTGGTTTGCTGAATTGCTCTAACAATAAATAAAAAGAAAAAGACATTGTAAGAAAAAATCGTCTTCTTATAATCCACCTATTTAGTTACTCACAAGAATTGGAGATGAGGCAGCTTGAAGATCTTAGGCGGAATCATGCTAATTCGGTTACGGTTTAACTTTACCACTAATAAGGAACTTGATAAATTATCAAAGCAACCAGCCTCCAAGGTAGTTATCCTATTATTACTCAAATTCCTAAAACAAACAAGATAACAGCAAAAGAAAAAAATTTAGTGTAACAGAAAATTCAACAAACGGATAGCTGCCAAAAATCTGTCTGAGCCCTCAGCTCTAATCACTTAATGACTATATACTACTTTACAAATCATTTAAATGCTTTGTTTCTTCATCTACAAAATTAGGATACCTACTTCATTTAATTTGTTATGAAACAGTATATGTCAATATGCTTTGTAAACTGGAAAACACTGGCATACACACTATTAGGTTATTAAGTATGAAATGTCCAATTTCCTTAAGTACTAAGTTTGACAGTTGGTAGCACTGACATTTCACTGACACTTCTGGTTTTATTTTTATTGTGAAGGTATATCCTTAGTCTTTCAAACACATGTTTTAATTTGTGATTATCTTTCAAAAAAAATTTTAGAACAATTTTTATTAAACCATGGATAGGTCAAAAATTTGTGTTATTTTCAAATATGAGTTCTGTCATGGAACCAATGCAGCACAGACAGCTCACGATAGCAAAGAAGTGTTGGGGAAGGATGTAGCTAATGAATGTACAGTACCTCAATGGTTTGAGAAGTTCCATTCTGGTGATTTTAATCTTGAAAATGAGCCATGTGGGTGACCTGAGACCAAGGTGAATAATGGTGAGCTAAAAGCTATAGTGGAAGGGAATCAATCTCAACCTACTCATGCATTGGCAGCAAGGTTTGACGTTACCATTCCAACGATATTGGACCATTTGAAACAAATTAAAGTAAAGAAGATGGATAGATGGGTTCCTCATGAATTAAACAAGCGTCAGCAGAGAAATCATCTTGAAGCTTGGCTTTCTTTGCTGTCAGACATAAAGGAAAACCAATTCTACACCATATTGTTACGTGTGATGAAATGAATTCTTTTTGACAATCACAAGCCAAGTGTTCTGCACAATAGTTGGATAAAGATGAAGTGCCAAAACAGTTCAAAACTGGATATTCATCACAAAAACCTAATGGTGTCTGGTGGTCTAGCGCTGGTATTATCCACTACAGCTTCATGAAACTTGGTCAATCAATTATGGCAGATGTCTACTGCAATCAATTGGACGAAATGATGAGGATGTTTGCAATGTAGCAGCTGAGATTGGTCAATAGAGACAGGCCAATACTCTTGCAAGACAATTTTGACCACACATCACACAAACAATGCTGCTCCAACTATAGAAGCTGAATTTGAAAACTGACTGTCATCCACTATATTCACCAGACCTTCCACCAACTGACTATCACTTCTTCCAGGCTTTGGACCACTTCTTTTTTTTTTTTTTTTTTAGAAACTCGTGTTTATTTTCCATCAACCTTATTTCCATCTTGTTTAAGAGTTTGTAGAAGAACTTAAGACCACTCAGTGGTTGTTCTGACCCATTCAGTGGCCTGAGCAGTGGGAGCTGCAGACCAGTCTTCTGTGGCAGGCTGAGCACTCCAGTCTTCAGTGGGGAACTGCTGAATAGGCACAGAGGGCACCTGCATGTCTTCAGACCAGTCTGCAACCTCGGGCTGAGTAGCAGTAAACTCAGGAGCTGGAGCTGTCCATTCACCCTGAAATTCCTCTTTGGTCACAGCTTTCTTGGTGGCAGATTGCTCTTCCTTTTCAATCTCTTTAGCATCTCTGTAGAAGTAGAGATCAGGCATGACCTCCCACAGGTGTTCACGGGAGATGGTGCCATGCATGCAGAGACCTTCCCAGGCCAGCATCCACCATATCGGACCCACAGAGTGAGCCTCCTTGTTGTTGCATGGGATGGCAATGTCCACATAATGGAGAGGAAAATCTGTGTTACACAGAGCAATGGTAGGCAGGTTAACATAAGATGCCTCTGTGAGAAGCTGGTGGTCAGCCCTGGGGTCAGTAACCACTAGAAGACGTGGTGCCCAGAATGCTACCTAGATCTGGTTAGTGAAGGTCCGAGGAGTGAAACGGCCAGCAATAGGAGTGGCTCCAGTGGCAGCAGCAAACTTCAGCATAGCTCCCTGGCCAGCACTCCTGGAGGATATCACACTGACATCAGCAGAGTTTTCAATGGCAACAATGGCCATTTCAATGGCACGAGCTGCCAACAGAAGCTTCTCCCAGTTCTTCTTCATATTTATGATGTAGATGCCATCAGTTTTCCTTTTGTAGATGTACTGTTCCATTTGGAAGTCAAGGTTGGTGCCACCTAAGTGGGTTCCTGCTGCAAGGAATTTGAGGACATCCTCCTCCTTCATTTGCAGGACATCAAGGGCTCCGGACATCGTGAAAGTTTCCCTTTAAGTTCCGATGGGAATCCAGAACAACGCCGAATAGGCCCCTTCCATGGGTGGCGTCGAAAAGCTGGACCACTTCTTGAAAGGAAAAACATTCAATTCTCAACAAGCTGTGGAAAACGCTTTTCATGATTTCATCACCACTTGCTCTCCAGGCTTCTTCACTGCTGGCATAAACAAGCTACTGTTAAGATGACAAAACTGTGTCAATAGTTTAGGTGCATATTTTGATTTACTGTACTGCTTCTTGTTTGAGATATAATAAGCTACACTTATGATTTGAAATCAGACATTTCATACTTAATGACCTAATAATCATCATTATATAAGGTTAGCCACTGTTTAAACAAACTACTATTTACCTTTTACAAAACTGCTAGTTAAAAAAATCCAGAATTAAATCTCAAAAATTCCCCTGTACATCTATCAATATTTTCTGACAATAGTGGAATCTTTCTTTTGGGGGCTGGAGGGGAAAGGGGGACAGAACCAACAACTCAAAAAACTGACCCTAGGTTTGTTTCAAATATGCATATCAAAATAATAATGAGTAACAGACATTTTGGGGAACATAGGTACCAATGAGTAGGAAACATGCACTTTAAAGTAAATCTAATTTAAACTCTATTTTACTTACAGGTATTTAAGCTGCATTCGAGGAAATGAAGATGTCTTGATTTCTGATATCATATTTGAGCTAAGGTCTAAACTCTCAAGAGCATGGTAAAACTGGAACGCCTCTGCATTGATTTCTGGGATTATATTATGAACTCTACAAAACAAAGATTATATTCAAGCTATTACCAATGATCCACCCCTCAAGGACCTTAAATAATTAGGAACAACAATATATGTGCTTAAAAAAAGACAACTGTATATTATGCATAATTTAAGTAGAAGATCTGAAAATTTTATTAACTTACAATGAAAGCAGAGTAATATTAGGTGTTGGTTCTCCAAAATATGGGATTTCTGTTAGTTCATTGTAATTCATTTTCCTAGACAAGAGGAAAAACAGATTTAAATGTTTAGTGAGGGAAATGTTACATCCTGAATTCTAGTTTCTGGCTAATACATACTCTTTTGAATAGGTGCCAAATTTGAAAAAGCCTATGACTCGGAATGAGTTAAACTAAACTAAAAATGTATTTATTGAGAAATCAGAGATTTCAATAAGAAATGTTTTTTCATAGTATATATACTATTGACATCAATATTAGTACAGCTAAGAAATATTTTGGAGATATTTTCAGTTCAAGCAAGGTTCTTTGAATAGTTGGGGTCATGACAGCTAATTTGAGCCCTTAAAGATGGAATAATTAGTTTGTTCAGATATCTCTCTTTTTCTCTCTAAATATACATACACACACACACACACACACATACATATATGTATGTGTGTGTATATATATTTTTCCTAAAGCTATACAAAAAATTAGGGAGTGTTGCTTGAGACCACAGACAATATTAATCTGCCCACCCAGAGATGGAACCTATAACATTTTCCAGATGACACAACATGTCAAACATCTGATTCTAGCAGCCCTTTAAACAGTCTCAAATGGTTGAGTTTTTTTGTTTTGTTTTGTTTTGTTTTGTTTTAGACAAAGCCTCACTCTCTCGCCCTGGATGGCGTGCAGTGGTGTCATCACAGCTCACTGCAACCTCAAACTCCTGGGCTCAAGCAATCCTTTCACCTCGGCTTCCCAGAGTGGTAGAATTACAGGTGTGAGCCACTGCAACTGGCCTCAAATGGTTTTTAGTAGCAAATCTAATACAATCACATTTCATTAACCTGGTTTTCAGTCACTAAACAACCTAAGAATCTAGAATACAGCAAAGAAATCAGAAGTAAAGGCCTCTAGGAAACGAACCAAAGTTCCAAATAAATCTTGTGCACTTCCCACTGAAGCATTTTCAGGCCCTGCCTCAATGCCTACTCTCAGCTAACAAACTTGTCAACTGTTTATTCAGTCCACGATAGATTAGAAGCAATAAATTTGGGATCAGGGAGGAGGGAATATAGGGATAATGAGAGCATTAAGAAGTTACCCCAGTCAGCAAATAATTAAAAAGGAAAGTAAATCTGAGGGTCCTGAGGGTGTTAAGTGTATAGGCAAATAAACCTATATACCTCAATAATCGTGACCCCAACCCAATGCAAAAACTGATATTTATAATATTTTACAAAATTACATAATTTTTCAGTATTAAAGAAAAAAACTTAAGAGGAAAATTGAATTATAACAACTGCCACATTCTCAAATGATACCAAAAATATTTCATACAAATCTATTTTTGACATGATGCTTCCATCTTAGATAACATCTCAAGATATTTAAAAAGTTTACACAACACAGAGTTTCACTGGCCAAAACTTGGCAAAAAGCAAAACATATTTACTCCTAAGAGAGGAGAAATCTTATTTTTCACCCCAGGAAAGTAAAATAGTATTTCTCCACAGTTTACAACTTGAAATCACCAACCCAATACCTAAAGAGCTTGTGAGAACAACAAAGTCAACAACAAGTTTAGATTTTCAAATAATTTCTTTTAATTAAAAGATTTTTCCCTTCAACTTTTTGATAGTGTCTCTGGATTGAACATCCCTAAATTTGCAATTTATTAAGTCACCTCAAGAACATAACTTTAAATAAATAAAAATAACTTACACTTCCTGTAATGTTTGTGATTCCAAGCTGATGTTCCAGTTAGACAACCGGTTATGACTCAAATCCCTGAAGGAGGACAAAATATCATTAGTGTTGGAAAGTAGACAAAGAAAAAAAACAACACTGAAACAGGAATATTAAAAATCCTATTAAATGTGAATTTGAGTACAGACAAAATGAAATGTTTATAATGGATGAATAAAAATTTATCTAGATTTCAAAACAGCTATTTTACTTTCTAATTTTTGTATTTTCTCTTTTTAACTTATCAGGGAATACATCTACTCGGTTCAATAATCAAAAAGTATAAAAGGGTATATAGTAAAAAAGTTTCCCACCCTTGTCTCTAGCCACTCAATTCTCCTTCCCAATAACAAATAAAAAACTATGTCATTTCTTGCAGAGCCTCACAGATATTTTATGCACGTACCAGCAAATATTTACACGAATGGTAGAATAATTTATACATTATTTTGCCTCTTGCTCTTTTCACTTAACAATATATTTTAGATCATTCTATAGCAGTATTTAAAGAGTTTCTTCATCCCTTATAGTGATTATATAATTTAACTGTAAATAAATTTGATGATAGATTTCACAAGTCAAGATGGTGAGCATCTATATTAAATTTGGAGTTGACCACATTCTTAATAGGGATGTGATCTTCCTTAAAAAAAGCAATCTAGCTTTGGGAGAAGAAAATTAATCTCACCCCAAATTATGTTAATGATGATGATGATGATGGCAGTGGCTAACATTTATTAAGTGCCAGGCATTCTTCTATATTAACTGGCTAAATCCACAAATAACCTTATGAGACAAATACTTTTACAATACTCACTTTCCTAATCTGGAAACAGGCACAGAGGTTACTAATTTGTTAATCCAAGGTCACAAAACTGTTAATAATAAGTAGAGGCCATAATTCTATCTCACTTCTAGCAAGTAATTTATTAGATATAGTAAAGATTTCACTGAAATTAGTCATGAGTCTAAATATTTAAACAGGCTTTTAAAAATTATCCGTGATGCCTCTGGCATCTTTACAAGGCTGAGGTAGAATCAAGGCCACACAGGCTGCCCATGAAATGTATTACATGTTACAATATGGCTAGCAATAGGGACACACCAGAGAAACATTAGGGATCACTGTATCTCACTGTGCCACCACAGGCATATGACAGATGCATGCAGGTTTGAATGATGTCTCTATCACAGCAGACCAATTTGTTCTCAGCTAGATTATGCCTGCCCATCTGTAAAACCTAGCCCCTTTCAAGAGCTTAATTTACACTATGACGTAACTAGAGCTCCATGTTAAACTATCGCTTTTCCAAAACAATTCTAAAACCTTTATTCTAAGATGTCTGGCAAGAGGTATCAGTTCAAGGACACTTATGAATAGAGGGGTGTGCTGGGAAATGTAAGAGATAAAAAAATATAAATTTGCTCCCCATAAAAATCTTATATTCAGACTCTTCATCCAACTTACACTTGCTACTAAACAATACAGAATTTCATACAAGTGAAAAGATGTTTTGTTGTTGTTGTTTTGTAGTATTTTAACTCAAGCAGAAATTCAACTATTCTAATTTAAGTTAGATATTCCATATTCTGCTCCAAGCTGGCTTGTCTGGCAAAAAAGAGCTAATATCATATGTGTAGCAGGCTAGCACAGTGCGATCTAATTCTATGTCTCATGGCTGCTAAAATTTAGCATTTTTCCCCTTGCAGATTAAGGGCTTTCATTTTCATAACAGTGCTCATAATGCCCTCCCCAACCCTCAATCTCCCCAGCAGCATAACTTTTTTTTTTTTAAATATTTAGTTTCAAGGTTTTGGAAGCATGCATATAACTCTTAATTGTATTCATCCCCTATAGTTCTCTCATGAATGTCAATCATCATTGACACAGATAATCACTGACCAGATATCTTGACCAGATAAATCATTTTTAAAGAAACCATTATTAAAGAGTTCTAAAGCAATAAGATTAAACACAATTTATACATGCTATAAACAACATGGTATTCAGTATTAGTGAAAACTGTCCAGTTTCTCTGAAGAATAATTTTCTCTGTATCTCTGAAGAACCTATAGCCTTTTCAAAGGATACCTGAAATACTTTGGAGCCTCTGTACAGGATAATGTTGTCAAAAAAAAAGATATATGCTTTGAAACAGCCTCATAGGTCAGAACCCTATATAATGAGGCTCTCCAGACCCTTCTGAAATAAATCCACATTGATATGAGATTTAAAAACACTAAAAGTGAACTGAAATACATTCCCAAAGTAGTACTACCAGAAATATATATGAATGAATATATATCAGAAAATATATCAGAATATGTATCAGTACTACCAATGAATATATATCAGTATAACTATTTAAGTTATCAAAATAGTCAGTGTCTAACTAGAATTATACAGGTTGATCTGATCATCATTCATACAATAAACATTTAATGGACTATGTGCCAGACACTGTACCCAGTGCTAGGGTCATAAACACTGCCAATTTCAGTAATCTTTTTTCTTTTTCTAAAAGCAACACAGTCCTCAGAAGTGTAGTCATTCCAAAACTCCAAACAAATTCAATATTAACTTGACTACTCCCCTTCACTGGAAATGAGTAAATTAAGTTACTTTTATACCTAAATTTCACTCTGGAATTTAATCATATCACATGCATACATATATGTACAGACACACTCTTGCTCCCGATAAGTATGCCTTTCCCATTTCTTTTTTTATTTTTATTTCTTTATTTAATTTTTTTTGAGACAGAGTCTCACTCTGTTGCCCAGGCTAGAGTGAGTGCTGCGGCATCAGCCTAGCTCACAGCAACCTCAAACTCCTGGGCTCAAGCAATCTTCCTGCCTCAGCCTCCCAAGTAGCTGGGACTATAGGCATGCACCACCATGCCCGGCTAATTTTTTCTATATATATTAGTTGGCCAATTAATTTCTTTCTATTTATAGTAGAGATGGGGTCTAGGCTCTTGCTCAGGCTGGTTTCAAACTCCTGACCTTGAGCAATCCGCCCACCTCGGCCTCCCAGAGAGCTAGGCTTACAGGCGTGAGCCCCATTTCTTTTTTTAAAGTACCCACCCCCAAAAGGCTAAAAATGACTAAAATTTGAAGATTTCAAATATCAGATGTAAAACTCTTAGATCAAGGATTTGGATAACTTTTGAAATTGAAGTCTCTCACTATTCTTCCCAATGTCCATTCACTAATTCCATTTAGTTTGTATAAAGTAATAACTTTTTTAAAGAGTCCTCAAACGGAGAACTATCTTGCAAAGTTTTTCCCTTTGAAATATCCCTAAAATAGGCTGGGCGCGGTGGCTCACGCCAGTAATCCTAGCACTCTGGGAGGCCAAGGCGGGCAGATTGCTTGAGGTTAGGAGTTCAAAACCAGCCTGAGCAAGAGTGAGACCTCCGTCTCTACTATAAATAGAAAGAAATTAATTGGCCAACTAATATGAATAGAAAAAATTAGCCGGGCATGGTGGCGCATGCCTGTAGTCCCAGCTATTTAGGAGGCTGAGGTAGTACGGTTGCTTGAGCCCAGGAGTCTGAGGTTGCTGTGAGCTAGGCTGATGCCAAGGCACTCACTCTAGCTTGGGTAACAAAGCGAGACTCTGTCTCAAATAAATAAATAAATAAATAAAAATCTCTAAAATATAGTTAAGAACTTAAAGTAATCTAATGCTTAATAAACATAACAAAGTTAAGCTTTGTAACAGTCAATAATCTTTCCTTTATTTTCTAACACCATGGATATGATGCTTGAAGAGTAAAGGTCTTACAGAAGGCCTCATCTCAATGTTGTAAACTCTGCTCCCACTCATGCTAATCTATAGGGATATAGCTGTAATACATGATGAATTATTAAAGTTCTTGTTATCATGTGGAGCCAGAGGTGCCATTAATGTAGTCGTTTAGTACCATCAGGCTGTAAATTATTTATAGGATGTACAGAGCAATCAGAACAGTTTAAGGAGGAGAATAGAGTTCAGCAAGCTAATTGCAAAGAAGTCCTACAGCAACAGAGACAGAGGGGTTTTCTTCTGCATAGTCACATACATGCACTTCTGAGTCATCAACAATCTTTTTTGTTTTTGAAAATATACAGCAATAATAGGTCAACCTGTGAATTTCAATAATAATAAAGCCTCCAATAAAGAAGAGGCCCTTTGCAAAAGTTAAAGGATAAGAAAATATTATATGTAATATTTTGGGTATGATAATGCTTCATTTATTTATCTGGTGTAATCTGCCTTCCTTTTGTAAATGAAAATCCCTGTCTTGTTAGAGTATACATAGCACGATTTGCTTTCATTTATTTATTTATTTTTTGAGACAGATTCTCACTCTGTTGCCCGGGCTAGAGTGTTGTGGCATCAGCCTAGCTCACAGCAACCTCAAACTCCTGGGCTCAAGTGATCCTACTACCTCAGCCTCCCAAGTAGCTGGGACTACAGGCATGTGCCACCATGCCCGGCTAATTTGTTCTATATATTTTTAGTTGGTCAATTAATTTATTTCTATTTTTCGTAGAGATGGGGTCTCACTCTTGCTCAGGCTGATTTTGAACTACTGACCTTGAGCAATCCTCCCACCTTGGCCTCCCAGAGTGCTAGGATTACAGGCGTGAGCCACTGCGCCCCGCCTGCTTCTAAACATAATACTTATGGTTACTATTATAATCAATTACCATACTGTGAGATTTAACATGCTGATGATCTTGAATATTCTTCCAGTATACTGAACTAAACACAAGAAATCCAAAACAACTCTTAAAATTCTGTCTGCTTTTATAGGTTTTCTTTTCCTTTACCACTAACAGCTTTACACTAAAAGCTCTCACTTCTTGGAACTATCAGACTTTTTGTCTGTAACAGGCTACTTTTTCCTAGTTTGTTGTTTCTAACTGTCATAGGCCAGGAAACATGATTGCCTATCAGAACTATATGAATTAGGAATAAATGAGAACTAGTGAGAGTCTCCTTTGTGAATAAATGCTTCTAGGAAGAATTTTTGCTTTGTGGTTGAACTAGA